CTTTTAACTTTTATGTATAAAACTGTGATTTTGGAAATGGAAGAACTGAACAGTGTTAGAGAGGCCACTCTCACTGTTCTCCAGAATGACTGCCCTTCTGACAAAGTTTAGCAGACCTGTCGCTGTCTCTGTATACTGGCTGACAGTGACAGGCAGCGGGATCCCTTTGTCCGGTATCACTTCTGTTCTACTATTTCACTAAAATTTGTCTCAAATTTACCTCCTATTGTTTGTGCTTCAACAACCAAATCCTGGGAGATATCTGTCAAAGCTTAGTCTTAATACTTCTCTTCAGATGGATTATTAAGAACAAAAATGGCTCAGCTACTTGAGCTAGCCAGCATTCAATTGCCCCTCTCAATTTCTCATTTTTATCTTCTCATGTTTTTTTTTTTTTGAGACGGAATCTCAAGCTGTCACCCTGGGTAGAGTGCCATGGAGTCATAGCTCACAGCAACCTCCAACTCTTGGGCTTAAGCAATTCTCTTGCTTCAGCCTCCCAAGTAGCTGGGACTGCAGGCACCAGCCACAATACCTAGCTATTATTTTTGTTGTTGTTGTTGCAGTCATTGTTTTTTCAGCTGGCCCGGGCTGGGTTCGAACCCGGAACCCTCCAGCCTGGGTGTATGTGGCCAGCACCCTGCCCACTGAGCTACAGGAGCCTCCCTTCTTAGGAATTCTTAATAGCCCTAGTAGTTCAAAGAAAAACACAAAAAATGAACATACTACCTTTCACATACATCCGAGAGAACAGTATCACTTGCAAGTAACTCTCCACACCCAGCCTGCTACTTTCTTAAAGCACTAACCATAGCACAACACATTGGAAGGCTCAAATAACACTCAGCGCAACTTGAATTACTTTGAAATTCCATGTGAGCTACTGGGTATACATATAAAACAATAACGAAAGATGTTAAGAGTAGCAGTGAACTGGGACTCCAAGAGGAGAGAAAACTGTTTAAATGTTCATCTCCTGTGCCTTCTGAACACAAAAAGCACATTCCGTCCCCAAACATTCTACAAACTCCATCAGCCTCTTCAAAGATTGAGCATCCAAGCTACTACTCAACTTGTGCAAGTTAGCTTGCCCTGCTAAAGATGAGTTAAGTTATAGCAGCTGCTCAATTTCTTCACTTTGTGTCACTATCAGAATAACCAACAGCAATCCAGCCATTTTCCATGAGAATCATGCAAGTCTTGAACTCTTTCTTAATTTTCATACCGATTTATACCATATTGACAGATGTGGAGAATGTCAGTTTTTATTATCGCTCAGCAGCTAAGTTCCACACTGCCACTCTCCTGCACACAATGACAAGAATACTAACGCAGGACAAAAAGAATAACATTGTTAATCTGAGCTATAATCATAAAAAAAGAGGTGGCAGCACCTGTGGCTCAGTGGGTAGGGCACTGGCCCCATACACCAAGGATGGCGGGTTCAAACCCGGTCCCGGCCAAACTGCAACAACAACAAAAACAATACCTGGGCCTTGTGGTGGGTGCCTATAGTCCCAGCTACTTGGAAGGCTAAGGCAAGAGAATTGCCTAAGCCCGGGAGTTGGAGGTTGCTGAGACCTGTGACACCCTGGCACTCTACCAAGTGTAATAAAGTGACTCTGTCTTTATAAATAAATAAATAAGAGGCAAGAAATGGTGTCTGGAAAAATATCAAATTCTCAAATATGCTACTCATATTGTTCAACTTTTGTTTAAAAACTTCTAGATGTTAAATACCAAGACACCAAACTAGAAATAAAAATGGTCTGAATCTCTGAATCTCAATCCTCCTGACTAAGGGGTTGGTGTGGATCAACCATAAACTCAATAAATATCTCAAATTCCTCACCTGTTAAAATGGAGATAACAACTCTTCTACTTCAGTCATAAGGCTATTTTGAGGAATGAGGAGTTACAGAAAGATTAAGGATAAACTACTACAATGTGCAAAAAAAAAGTTTTTTGGAGACAAAGTCTTGTTCTGTTGCCTGGGCTACAGTGGAGGAGCATCAGCCTAGCTCACAGCAACTCAAACTCCTAGGCTCAAACCATCCTCCTGTTTTAGCCTCCCAAAGTGCTAGGATTAGAGAAGTGAGTCACCATGCCTAGCCCCAAAATATTCTTACTGGAAGGCAGCTTTACTGAAGTAGAAGGACCATGACATTTGCAAGGAAACAAACCTGGGTTCAAATCCCATCTGTGCCCTTATTAGCTGTTCATTTGTGTGAAGAGTGCCTTGGGCCTCAGCCAAGTGAGCATGATCACTATGTGCACGTATCATTAAGGGTGTGAGGAATAACACTGACATGACACATGGAAAGTGCCTGGCACATACTGTGCACAACTACAAAAAAGGTTTTTCTGCAAAAAATACAATTACCCTTTTTAGTGTTAGCCTTAGTTCTATGCGAAGATTCTAGAATTCAGTTTGTAAAAAGGCCTTTCAGAGCTAAGGACAGAGAAATACAATTGTATTATTCAGAAATACTATGTTTTAGAACTGCAACTAGTCTCTTACGCTTCAAAACAAAACTGAGACGGAGAATGTGCGTAATTTCACAGAAAAGCACGTGCTTTTTACATTTTATGTTAACAAACTGTAAGTTGTTACTAAAGCCCATTCACCAAGCACAAGACCTACAGTATAAAGGTCCCATTCTGAGTTCCCAGGACGATGAGCAAGAGTCACCTGAAATCACTGGAAATGCTGTGCCTCACAGGGAACCAAGCCTGGACACGTCTTTTATTGGCTCCCACAGGTGAACTGAAGGGGCAATAGACTTTGGTTCATTCTTATTTTTCTAATTTTAGTTTTACTCTTCATTCATTTTTCCTTTTAGTTCACTTATGGATGACGAGTTATTTCCTGTCGGTAGCTGCAATGACTGGGAATTCATTTGTATCTGGAAATGAATTAATGCCTTATAGAGATCTGTTCCTTGCTGGGTGAGAGACCATGCGGCATATACGAGTTTGTTAGTATTTGTCCATTTGTCTATTCTGAGCTCAAATCAATTAGGAATTTCTTGCCCACAAGGAAGAACAACAACTCTTTCATATCTGGACCAATAAACTTTTGTGTTTCTTTGTTTATCTTTCATTTGTGGTTAAAATGGAGAACTGAATGTAACACTATCTCTATGTCTATGTATCTATAATCCACAAAGTCTCTTTCTCTCATTGTATGGAACATTTTCCTGTCTCCAGATAGATGAGACCCGAAAGCCTACTTTTTAAAAATAGGTCCTAGTCTGAATTCATTTTTCCTCTTAAACTCTGCAGAACATAAGCAGTGTGAAAACCACGTTGGAGTGGTAGCTTGGAGAACTACCAATCATAAAGCCCTCAGTTCCCTAACAAGTCTCACTGTCCAGAAGCTGACAGTCCACCACGGAGAAAAGGGGCGCTTCAGGGCGTTAAGGCAAGGCCACAAACATGGCTGCTTCTTAAGAGAGATAACAGGGGTGGCACCTGTGGCTCAAGGAGTAGGGTGCCAGCCCCATATACCAGAGGTGGTGGGTTCAAACCCGGCCCTGGCCAAAAACTGCAATAACAACAACAACAAAAAAAGCAATAAAGGTATCTAAAAAAAAAAAAAAAAAAAGAGAGAGAGATAACAGTCCATCTGAAAAAGAGAGCTACTAATCTCTTACTATTTCCCCAGCCTAAATTAGGAGCTTGACAGTTCCATACTCGCCATGGAAGTATCCCCTGCAGGAAGGAACTCTGAGCCATTCGTGCCTGTTCAGAACTCACTACCCTGCGTGCAACAACGCGCTTGGAGCCACCTCTCCTGCTAGGTGGGCAGAAACCGAGCGGATTCTGACCTTGCAAGAAATGCAAGAGCAACTCCGGGTTACGGAACAAGGCGACCCAGACCTTACCCTCGCTGGAGTTCCCGAAGGCCTCGGTTCCAACAGCCACCCCGCGTTCCGACGCCAGCACAGCTAGGACCAGCAGCCGCAGGAGCCCCATAGCTGCCTGGGCCAGGGTGGGCCAACGCCAAGGTCGGAGAGCGGGGCGGGCGTGCGCACCTGGGCCCAGCAGAGTCGCCCGCGCTACCCCGGGGCACTCGCGCCCGGCGCCATCGCCCGCCAGGTGCAGACGCCTCGCACCTGCCAGCCCCGCAGTCGTTGGCCAGCGGCCCGCCGCGAGCCTCCACTCTGGCAAGAGATTCGGGTACCTCACCCCTGGCGCGCTCACCCGCGCCTCTCCGCCCGCCCCGCGGTGCGTCACGGCGGCGGGGCCCCGGGCGGCGGCGCTGGGGGCGTTCCCAGGCAGCGCGCGCCTCCTCCCGGCGCTCCGAGGGCTCGCAGCCCGCCGCGCTCCCCGGAGCCCCCAGGAAGTTGCCCTAACGAAACCGCCGAGATAAGTACTGAGTAACTTGCTGTTGTGGCCTAACGCCTCCAGGCTCCTGTTAACAACAGCAGCAAAAAAGAGGAATCGGGGGCTCTTTCAACCCGCTGTTGTTACTTTTTTTTTTTTTTTTGCAAGAATGTACAGTTGTTCATTGCTACCCTACCATGATGCTCAGGTTAATGTCACCATAAAAATGCTGGAGAATGTTGTATCTGTAGTGGTTACAGAGTTGGTGAGAAGCGCCACATTTAAAAATAAAGTTTCATTTTCTCTATGCGAAATATCCTCGAAGACTCACAACCTGAATTTGAACTTCCTCCCTCAAATCTCATACCTGAGTACTATTGAAGGAACGGTAAGTAGTCCGTGTAACAGATGGCTCGTCAAATCTTGGAATTAGATTTGTAAACTTAGATTCATCATTTGGGGAAAATTGCCCAGCTTCTCTTTCATTCTTTTTTTTAGACAGTGCCTTGCTTTCCCTGGCGGCTAAAGAGTGGCGTCATTATAGTTCACTGCAACCTCCCCGTGTCTGTGCTGGAGGGATGGTCTTAGTCTCAGCCTCCTGAGTAGCTGGGACTACAGGATCACAACACCACTCCCAGCTAATGTTTCTATTTTTTGTAGACACGGTATTTTGCTCTTGCTCAGGCTGGTTCCCACCTCCTAGCCTTAAGCTATCCTCCTGCCTTGGTTTCCCAAAGTTCTAGGATTATAAGCATGTGCCTTTCTTGCTTTTTAAATTTTTCATTTATATATTTTAATGAGCAATAGCTTGGAAATTACATATTCAATTAATCCACTATTAAGCTGCTTCCTGTAGTCCCAGCTACTGAGGAGGCTGAGGCAGAAGGATTGCTCCAACCCAGGAGTTTGAGGTTGGTATCAGCTAGGCTGACACCAGGGCACTCTACCCTGGAGACAGAGTGAGACTCTATCACACACAAAAAGGTATAAATATATAATTCTCTCTTTTTGTATGAAATTTATATGTGCATAAGCCAACAAAGCATGTTTAGGGAACTGAAAGCAGTCTAGTATAGCAAATGCTTATTTATATCACAGCATTTCAGCCCAGCTCTTGGGCTCTTGGAACATGTTAAATATTTAATAAATTATGACTAGGTAATAAAAGTAGTTAAGAGTCTAGGATGTCAAGTTAAAAATTGTTAAAGTTTTTTTCTGGAAAAAATAGGGAGTTATTACAGATTTAAAAGCCAAAGTACTTATCACAGAACTGACAATGAGTTAACTGTTGAATCTGTGTGATGGGTATGTGAGAGTTCACTATATTCTTCACTCTTATATATGTTTGAAACTGGTTTTTGTTTTTGAGACAGAGTGTTACTCTGTTGCCCTGGGTAGAGTGCTATGGCAGCATCATAGCACAGAGCAACCTCAAACTCTTGGGTTCAAAAGATCCTCTTGCCTCAGCCTCCTAAATAGTTGGCACTACAGGCACTCACCATAATACCCAGCTACTTTTAGAGTCTTGCTCAGGCTGGTTTTGAACTCCTGAGCTCAAGCAATCCACTGGCCTTGGCCTCCCAAAAAAGTGCTGGGATTATGGGTGTGAGCCATGGTGCCCAGCTGAAACTTTTAATAATAAAAAATTATAGAGAAAGTACTTACCAAAATTATGTGTTTAAAAGATGAGAGCTGGCTCGGCGCCTGTGGCTCAACCGGCTAAGGCGCCAGCCACGTACACCTAAGGTGGCGGGTTCGAATCCCCA